TTTCCGTCATCGTATGTCGTGCTGCTGCTCAAACTTGGTTCGGGGACAGCAGCAATCGCAGTGACGACTATGACATCGGTGGTTGAGGGTAGGACTGAAGTTGGTGTCGCTGTTGACGAGCTCAAAAAGGACGAGATCGACACCAGTGTTGACGTCAAGTGTGAGGGTTCGATGGGTAGCACTGGTTGGGCCGACGATGTCGGGAGAGGATGAGCCGTGCTAGTTGCAGGCGTGGATGTGGGCTCGATATTGACAATCTGAACCGTTTTCGTCACGACGACAGTGTCTGTGATACGATTTGTGACTGCGGGCGACGTCATAAAAACTGTTTGAACAGCTGTCTTGGTAGGAGGCGTCTGTACCACGGTGATGGTCACGGGGTTCGGGGCGGGCTGATTGCCGGTACCGGACCCCCCTGAGCCCCCTGAACCACCGGGGCCGGAAGTGCCGGGGCTGCCAGCGCCGATCCCTCCTCCTGGGGACCCTCCCGGAGACCCACCCGGAGTCGTGCCGGAACCTCCTCCATCGATATTGACTACCGCATAGGTCGCCCTGGGCTCTAGGGCTGCTGGTTGTTGCAACGGCGACTCATGGAGCGGCAGAGAGAAACAAGGAAGAAAGAGAGCGTAGGATGCTGAAAGAAATAGAGTTGCTCGGTTGGAATGCATCTTGAAGGCACTGATGTGTCTGATGTGTCAAGATGCAAATGGCCGAAGGCAAGGCGCACAGCAGCCAGAGCGAGATGCTGGAAAGCTGCAGCAGACAGGAATGCGTTTCAAGGAACGGCAGACAGTAGAGAAGGAGAGAAGCGGAACAAACCTGAGAAAGCACTCATGGTGCAGGATTATTTAGTTGAGGAAAGGCCATGATAATTCAGATGGCTGGCTTCAGTCACAGTCACAGGCTCTTGTGTGCTGAAAGAGAAAGTGTTTTGGGCGACGGGGAGTGCTTGATTTGGAAATTGAGGAGGTTGAAGCTCCACCCCTGCATTGCCCCACCTAACCCGCCCGCTCGGGAGCGCTAACGTACCCCTCCACGACCACACACCCCCAGCCACCTTTGATGGGCAGGGGAGGAAGAGAAAAGATGAGATGAAAAGTCTTATCGAGGAGCAGAGACTGTCACTGACTGTGTGAAACTAGTTTTAGATGTGGGCTGCTTTTGTACTCCATACCGAGACAATAGTATTGTCAGACTGGAGAGAGAGAGAGAGAGAGAGAGAGAGTGAGAGGTGCCGACGACACCCGGGGGAGGCTGGTATTGAGTGTGACAAACGGGATTCGGGTGTGGCGCAGATGCCGCTCGGGGTACAGATGGAGGGGCAACCCTAACAAGAGTTCCAAGGTTGGACATTTTCACTTTTTGGCTGTCACTGTCCAGACCACGCGAGCGAGGAGTAGCAATTAGGCACAATCTGCTAACATTGCATCGCGAGGCAGCGCTTCTTTATAGCCGTCTACATGGTGGCCGAAGCTCGGGAAGATGTTCGTTGGGCTGAGCCGCTTGGCAACCAGCAAGCTGCTGCTGAGCCACACATTGACGCAATAGTTCTGGGCAGGCTCTCAGCAGTTCATGGCTGTGCGATGCGGGGTGAGGGGCAGAGAGGCTCAGAGGCAGCCGGGCCTGGTGCCTCGCGCTGATGGCCATTGATCTGCAGGTCACATCTAGTTTGGGAGATAGGTATGTAGAATATAGTATATAACCATGGATAAGCAACCATTCTCCTGTTCCTGTCCTTCCTTCCACTTGCATCCACCTTGAAAATTTGTTGCTTCTTGGCTGCTCCTCTGCTGCCAACCACCTAACCGCTACCCTCTACGAATCCATTTCTTGTTTGCCAGAGCCAACAAAGATCTCGCGCATTTGCAAACAAGGACAAATGTCTTACTCAGGATACCCTCCGTACGGCCGTAAGTTCGAGACTGACTCCCAGAGCATCATGGCGCATTACTCACGAAACCAAGAACCCCCTCCGCAACAAGGGGGTTACTACCAGCAACCACCGCCCGGCCAGCAATACGGCGCTCCTCCTCCTCAAGGCCAGTACTATCAACAGCCCCCTCCCCAGGGCTACGGACAGCCTCCCCCGCCTCAACCATACGGTGCCCCCTCGCCCCAGCCATATGGCGCGCCATCACCACAACCATACGGCGCTCCCCCACCCGCCCAGCCATACGGTGCTCCTCCACCTGCCCAACCGTACGGCGCTCCTCCCCCGGGCCAACCGTACGGCGCTCCTCCTCCGCAACCGTACGGCGCGCCCTCCCCGGCTCACCAATACCCTGCTCAAGGTGCTTACGGCGCTCCTCCTCCCCAGCAAGGATACGGTCAACCCCCACCACCTCAAGGCGCTTACGGTCAACCTCCTGCCCAGTACACACAGTACGGCCACCAATATCCCCCGACACCTGCCTCGCCAGGCTATGGCCCCCCTCAAATCATCGCTTGGAGCCCCGATGCCGACGCTCAGGGCTTGCGGGCCGCCATGAAGGGCTTTGGCACAGATGAAAGAGCTCTAATCCGCATCCTCGCCAACAAGGATCCCCACCAGATCCGCACCCTCCGCGACGCCTACAGCCGAATCCACCGTCGCGATCTCGAAAAGGACATCAAGAGTGAAGTTTCCGGTTGGTTCGAGACGGGCCTCATCTCCATCGTCCGCGGCCCTCTCCTTCACGATGTCCACCTTTTGCGCGATGCCATGGCTGGTATTGGCACAAAGGAGGCGGTTCTGAACGATGTCTTGCTTGGCAGGTCAAACGCCGATATGAACGCCATCAAGAGTGAATATCACCGCGTGTTTAGAAGGCGTCTTGAGGATGATGTCAAGGGTGATTTGAGCATGAAGACGGAGAGGCATTTCATGATTGTGCTGGGGGCGACGAGGGCGGAGGACTCGGCGCCGGTGGTGAAGATGGAGATTGATAGGGATGTGAATGATCTTTATAATGCGACCGAGGGCAAGGTCGGGACGGATGAGATGAAGGTGTGCAGTATTTTGAGCACGAGGAACGACAACCAGATTCGGGCTATTGCGTATGAGTACCAGCAGAAGTATGCTAGGAGTTTGGAGGATGTTATTCGCAGGGTAAGTTTTGCCATACCATATGTTCTTGTTTTTTTTTTTTTTTTTTTTGGTTGTTTACTGACGTCAATATTGCAGGAATTCTCTGGACACATGGAAGATGCTCTTCTTTTCCAGCTTCGGCAGGGACTCGACAAGTACATGCATCATGCTGCGCTCCTTGAGGATGCTATGGCTGGCGCTGGGACCAAGGACCACCTTTTGACCAGCCGCATTATCAGATATCACTGGGACCGCACTCACATGCAGAACGTGCGCGGTGCCTACGAGAAGAGATATCACAGAAGTCTCGTTAGCAGAGTCAGGGGTGAAACCAGTGGTGATTATGAGAGGCTGTTGCTCGCCTGTCTTGGCGAGGCTGTTTAAGCGTAGTCGGGCGGTTTACTTATTTTCTAGCCAGACATGTAATGATACCAATTTGCTATTTTATACCCTCAATATGCATGAGCTCAGCGTTGGCGCATGACGGGCTTTAAGCACAACCTCAATACTATTTTGTCGGTGGCTTTTCCAGAGTGAGAACAAACGGGAATAGCTAACGAAAAGATGTCACAATATTGGCTGTGCCATGAAAGCGAACAGACTGCATAATGACGATGGGTACATGCATATACCACCAACGCAGACATGTAACCCCAATAGTACCTCCCCACCAGATGATCTCGAAGGACCCTTCTCAACGGCAGAGTACTCCTGACCCCTAGACTCGAGCTATGACAAAGCCAGAATTGATGCAACCTGTCACAGCTCTCCCGTGGGATTACTCTCAGCGTTTTGTGTTTCAGCATATGAGACGGGTACAATTTGACACAGATTGCGGGTAAATCTACGATGATGGTTGAAATATTTTTTTTGTTAGGTAAGCCCGAGTCGCTTGGGGGTGACAACATGAAGCTGAGCTCAAAGCCGAAGCATTGCAGCAAGACGAGAGGAGGGAGGAAAAAAAAAGCAACAATACATGATATGATGACTTGGATACAAGGAATGGATCATGATGTTTTAAGCAAACGCGTGAGACGACGGGATCCCTGGACGCAATTGATGGTTGAAGTGGAACCGTGGGAAAAAGTTTGTGTGTTGCCCGTGCACGGCCAGGGCTCCAAGTAGCGTTATGTACTGGTTAGCAAATATAATTCTCGCCGGAAGCTAGCTGGATTGGCTGTACAAAGTTAATTAAGTTGTTAATTATCTATTAAACACGATGGGCCTCCCCTTTTAACCGAAGGAAGCTACTCTCAAACGAGGGAAAAACTTTTCTTGATTAAAGCAAAGGGGACGGCCATAGCGCCCCCCTCAGTAACGTTTTACTTTTAACCTGCGGTCCGCCAGACATCACCACCACACACCATCACCATCACCATCCTCCCTTCTCTGCTTCACAATTTTTGGTTGGCAGTGTGACACATTGCACAGTACCGAGGTCTCTCTCTCTCTCTCTCTCTCTCTCTCTGTGTGTGTGTGTGTGTTGCTGAGCAGCAGCACTGCGGGTACCTCTGCCGCGTCCAAGCCCGTCCTGCACTTTACAGCAATTGGCTGGAAGCTCAAACTCGATGCAGATCTAGACAGCCAAGAAACATCACTGAGCTGCATCTGTGAAGGGTGGAAGGTCCTAGGGTCATGAAGGAGCATTTTGGATGCTTTCGGCTCGCAACACAGTTACATGAAAGCCACTTGCAGCAACCACAGAACCAGGAAGCCACAGCCAAACAGACAGTAAAAACCATGGAGGCTCATGGACAAGAACCATCAGCAGCAGCAGCAGCGGCAGTGACAAGCTCACCGTCCACGGGGCAACACGAAAATCCGCCGGCAGAGTCCAGTCCGGTGGTCCCCAGTATCCAGCAACAAACACCGTCACGGACGACTAAAAATGCCGTGCCCGTGGTCGGTGCTCAACCGGCCAGTTCGGAGACGCGTTCCGAAAACCCCTTCTCCCATCCCCGGGAACCAGGAACAGTAAATGGGCTTGTGGCCTCGATATCAGAGGCCATCGGCCGGCCTGGAAGTAGTGTGAACGAGCCACCAGTGGTAAAGCCGGACGGTGAGGAGGTTCAAACCTCCACAACAGCTCCAGCGCCGGCGCCAGCACCAGCACCAGCACCAGCACCAGCGCCAGCACCAGCACCAGCACCAGCAACAGCACCAGCAACAGCACCACCAGTCCTCTCATCAGCCCCTCCACCTGCGGCCCCAGCTCCAGCTCCAGCTCCAGCCCCAGCTTCCGTCTCAGTGCCTGCCCAAGGTCCCGCTCCCACCGGCCCGGCCCCACAACTTCCACCTCCGCAACAACCCTCGCAACAGCAACATTCTCAGCCTCCACCACCGCAACAACAACCACTGCCACCACCAAGACCGACTCCGGCAGCATAAAATCATCACCCGGCCCCGTTCCTGCCTTCGCAACCTCTTGCGCATCCTGGGCAAGCGCAGCCGCCATCGCATCAAGCGCACCTTGTGCACCCACCCCAATTTCACCCTTCAGTGCGTGCCGTATCTCCACAAACGCGTGAACAAATTCCTCCGCCGCCGCCGCCACAACCACTACAGTCGCAACCTCAGTCGCAACCCCAACATTGGCACCGTTGGACCGCGCCCAGCCATCCACCACCATCTGCCCATCACCCACCGGCAGTTCACCACGCGCACCAGCAGCCCCAGCACCATCACCAGCCACAGCCCCATCATTATCCCCAGCATACTTTGCCATCGCAGCCGCTTCCCCGGCGGTCCATGACTGACCGGCCCGTGATCATGGACCCGCCTGCTCGGAGGACCAGCCATATGCCGGCGCAAACCTCAGGAGGCTTCCCGTCGCCGACGCTGGACCATGCCAGCGCCAACCCCAAGTTTGTGGACGACTGCACGCGCATGACTTATGCGATCCAGCAGAGTCTTCCCGAGGCCGTCCGACGCATTGTGCGGGACCACTGGGAAAAGTGCCTGTTGGGCACAGAGTTTCATCAAGCTTTCATCGTAAGTTGCATATCTCATATTAATTACCCTCTTTATGTCTCGGTATTTCCACACTTTACCCGCATTCATTCATCTATTCTTTTGACGCGCCCCCATCCCGAGCATCCATGCCCTCGCCCTCGCCTCTTGTCCTCGCGCTTGCTCCCTGTAATGGGCAGAGTTGCTCTTGCCGGTGGGGAGCTGTGGAAAGATACTCTGGTCAGTTGCAGGGCAAGAGTGGATGGCTTGCTTGTTCTTTGCCTGCCACCAGCTGCTTTCTTTATACCCTCGTATCTATGATACGTCTCATTCTACCTTTGATCTGATTTTCATCTCACCTCCCTCCTCCCTCTCACACAGCCATGCCCGAATCGCCATACCGTCCTCCGCCCGGCTCGACCATTGTCCCGACTTCGCATAACAAATGTGGTCCGGTGCCGTTCCCACTAACAGCTCAACAGCTCAATGCTTCTATTCATCATGCGGTCCCGTCCGTCACACAACGTGCCGTCCGCGACTTTGGAGCCAAGATGGTGGCCGACTCCATTGTCGACATCATGAACCACTTTACTACCGCGGATATCGACAAGGTCGCCGACATGATTATCGACAAGGCCAGCGACAACTTCCTCGACAAATGTCTGGAAAAGCGACTTTTGACCATCGAGGCCGCTCCACTGACCAATGCTCTCGCGAAAGCTGAACGGCTGGGGTATGAGCTGGGCGATGTGATCCCAGAACAACAACAGGGCCAAGCTCATCCGGCTGCCGCTGCTCCTAATGGCCACCAAGCTCACCCTACCCAACCGGCGGCTGGCTATCCTCCTGCTCCGTCTGCTCCCCCGTCGTCGCAACATCCAATGCTTCAGTGTGCTAGGTGCTTCCGTACTTTTGCTCAGACTTCGGCTTTTGAATATGTGAGTACATGCCGGTTTTGACAAAGAAATAGCGTGCTGACCTGCTATGTGTAGCACACTGCATACAGCATTTGCACTATATTACCACCCACCTCGGCTGGATTCAAGCACTCATGCCCATACTGCGGTCAGGGCTTCACAGAACTAGTAGATCTGAATGGCCACCTCAACGGTAGAGTTTGCGGTCATTTTGATACGGTCAAACTTCCTCGTGGGCCTGGTCGACCCCCAAGAGCTGCTCCCGTTCAGCATGCTAGCCCCGTACCGATTGCCTCATTGGCGCCAAACGGGACCCCTAACGCTTCCTTGTCAACTCCAGCGCGATCCCAGCTCGTGAATCGCGCATTGGCAGGAACGCCGACAGCCTCACCCATCCCGGGCGATCCATATGCTCACCTCACACCTGAACAATTCCAAGCGATGAACGAGGAGCTTCACGAGGCCGAGATCAAATACCGACCAAGATTTGCCGAGGCGGAAGCCATCCCTGATGAAAACGAAAGACGCCTGAGAGTCGAGGGTCTCAGGAACAGCTTCGGCACCAAGCAATCGATGATCCGGAAGAAGTACGGAGTCAGGCTGCGTGAACGACGCACCAAGGCGGAGATTCAGGCTGAGAGGGAGCGTCTGGGCATCAAGCAGGCTGAAAAGGACCAAGCGAGGGCGTCCATGGGGCCTGCTGGCAAGACAGAGGATAGGCCAGTGGTCATTAGCGATGTCCCTGTGCCTGTTGTTCCGCCTATGCCTGTTGGGCCACCGGCAGCTGGGTGGGTGGCTGCCAATACGCCAAGGCCAAATCCTGGTGCTGCCGAGGAGGAGGAGCACGATGCGAAGAGGAGGAGGACGGACACGAATGGGGGGTATCAGACGCCCTATAGGACTGGGGTGGAGGATACACCCACCCGCAAGGTCTCGGCCAGCTTTGATGGGGCAGGTGGTTCAGGTGTTCAGAACACCGGCAATCCTTATCCCGCGCTTGGAAAACCCCCCAATCACGCCGACCTCGCAGCGCAAGCCGCTGCCGCGACGGCTGCGCTGAATGGCCAGAATGGGAACAGCTCCAAGCAACCCATCGCTATCGACGATGGTGATGACGACTCGGACTCGTCGGGTGATGACGAGGATATCCCTTCTACGTTGCCCGCCCACGTGAGGAACAGCCTGGGGGCGTCGGCGGCTGGCAAGACGGGGAGTAGAGCTGGCTCCACGGCGTCGATGACTCCTGGATAACCTGACCATGGCCAACAAAGAAAACTATCTGTACCAAACTATTGTTTTACATATATTCCCTTTTTCTTGCTTCTTTTGCACATATATATACCTACTCAACCACGACCTTGCAAGCCTTTGATATAACACCCATCATCATCAACATCATCATCATCATCAGCTTTTCTTTTTCGCTACTCATTCTATATCTGGTCTGGCTTTTAAGTAGAAAGTTTGGGAAGGAAGGAAGAGGAAAAAGCAATGGGTGGGTGGTATAGGTTTATCAGAGGGTGAAAAAGGTTGGTTGGTTGGTTGATTGGTTGGTTGGTGTGGCTGGGGGTAGGTTATTTGTTCTCTTTTTTCATGCATGGCATAGCGTGGCAGGCAGGCGATAGGCGAGACAGGGTATTCTTTTTTTATTTTTTTTTATTTTTTACTTTTCCTGCAAAAGATGGGTATATTAATTGAGGAACTGTTCATACAAAAATCGACAAGACATCTTCATGAATGGCTGTTTGTGTTGCTCTATTTACTCTGGTAACTGGTTCCTGCCCTCTTTGCTTGGGTGTTCGGTCTTCTCAGACCTAGACAATCCATCTCAGTGGACTTACACACGTGTGCGCAGCAGGCCCCCCTTTCATACCTTCATTGTGTATGCTATTCACAACTGACATGACATCCTTTCCCCTGTACACAGACATCTACAGTTAACAATATGTATTTCTGTACACTTATATACGTGCTATCCTCCCCAATCAATCCCCATACACATACCCTTCTCCTCCCCCAGCCCACCCCCTTTTGATATCCTTTTATTTCTTTCCATATCACAACCCACCCCCCCCCCCCCCCCAAAATCCTTCCAAAACTAGCAAAACAGCCAAAGCAAGCTCAAGCTAAAATGAACAAATCAACGCCAAACATGCTGCTAACAATCCGTCTCCCCATCAAATAAATAACAAGTATCCATAACACCCATGACAAAACTCCTGCGCTAAAGATCCTGTCCCGTTCCAACAAAAACCCGTACCGCAATCCCCTCTCCCTCAAAAATACCATCCTAGTTCGTAACTCTCCTCACCCACAACCCCGTCGGCTCAAACTCGTTATCCCTATCCAGCCTCTTGTAAGCCCGGTGCAGCTTCAAGCCCAGTTCATACTCCTCCCTCTGCACCTCAGACAACTCCTGCTTCAGCGCCTCTACCTTCTTCTTTTCGATTTCCCTCTTTCTAATCACCTCCTCGCTGTTCATCAGCTTGTCCGTCGGCATCATCTCCGTCATCTGGGTAATGGACCTGTTGATGTTGATTCGCCTGTTTGCCAACGCTCTCAACTGGGCATTCAGCAACCCGACACGATCCTGGGCTTCACCCTCGGGTGGTGCTGGAGGGAGAGACTTGTTGATGTCTGAAGCACGAGAACTGGGGCGTTCAATGGCCTGCGCACGGGCAACAGCTGGGTTTACCATCCTCAACTGCTCCGTATGGGTGGTAAAAGGCGACGTCATGAACTGGTCGATCGGAGACGTCACCGGGCTGTTGTCAGAGGACGGGCCGATCTTGCCGCCGTGGTGGAGGCCGACTGGGAGTGAGGGGACAGGTGGCTGGTCCTCGTCAACTAGCTCGTCGCCGTCGTCCCGGGTTGTACCCGTGTGGCTGGTGGCGTATGTGGTTATGCTGAAGCGAGAGGGAGGCTGGACGTAGGTGTCGTTGTTGGCCGCTAGGGTAGCCGGCGGGGCAATATCAGGAATAGTGAGCGGGGAAGTGTGCAGTGGTCCTCGAGGTGGTTGCGAGTAGACAGAGGAGACCGAGTCTTGGTGTTGATGGTGAGTATGTACCGGAGGTGGCTTTCTGCGAATCACGTTGGACTCGTGCGGGCTGTTAAACTCGGGGCTGGGGAGTGCGGCCATGCTGGGGACGACATCCCTGGAGAGCTGTCTGGCAGCCATGGCTGGTGCATCCCCCCCGCTGAGCGGAGTGCTCGAAAGCGGCGGGCTCGGGTAGCTCTGCGCATTCTCTGAATGGAGGTAGGCCGTCGGGGGAGTCAGCTGGGACGGAGTGTGCACGACATTGTGCGACGTCTCCCGCAAGCCGGCCCTGACTGTGGACGTTTCAGTTGCGGGAGGGCTGATGGGTGGGGTTTGTCCTCGCCGTGGCACACCCCCTAGTGAGATGCCAGGCCTTGGTTTGTCTGCTTGTACTGGTGTAAGAGTTCTCCTGCTGCTCTTCTCGGGGATCCTCAGGGGTGCAACTTCAGGAGTGTCGTGGACGGGCTCAACGATGGCAGTTCGGCCGCTCGCACCTCGCCAACCAGGGCGGTTTGATGTGAAGGCGCCCGCAGCGGGATCTGTGTCATGCTGAGGCTCTCTCTCCCGGCCAGCAGCAGCCTTCTTGGCAATCCTCCGCACTCTGTCAGCGAAAGATGGAGGCGCTTGTGTAGGACTGGTCTGCGGGGATGCCCAGGCAGTTGCTGTAATTCCCAGACCTTGAGAACATTCGGCAGGAGGCCCTTGAGACGGCCGAGCACGGTCAGCCGCCGTCGGTTCACCTGTCAGCCGATTCCAGCGGGTTGGTTCTTGACGTGGTGGGTGGTCCCGATTAGTAGAGTTTGGCTCGCGCATGACGGTACCTGACTGCTTCCTCCGTTCCCTACGCATCATGGGAATACTGGTAGCACCACCGCCACGGCTGTTGGGAGCCCGGCGAGGCGACTGCCTGCCTGTCTCGGGGGTGGGCGTCTGCTCCCGTCTCGAGTGGTCATTCTGAGCACCGTTGTTGCGGAAAGCCGGGTGCTGCTGGAGAAGAGCTGCTGCGTGATCGTCCTCCTCTATTGGGGAGACATCGCCGGGCAAGAAGCGCTTCACGCCCTCAGAGTCGGGCTCCGGAGAACTTGGCGGGGAGATCTCCTCCGCCCCGCCGCCGCCGCCGCCGTAGCGGTAGCCGTACTTGGTAGCCACGGTTACTGTGTAGTTCGAGGCTGGCGGTGGTGCCTGTGCGTCTTGAGAATACACAGACGACGGTGGTCGGTAGGTGGAGGTGCGGACCTTGATTCGAGCTGGGTTGCGGGGAGGTGGCTCTTGTATTGCTGCGCGGGGAGCAGATGTCTCACTGCAGCACAACGTGACTCTGTTAGCAATGGGGAAGCGAAGTCGGATGCAGTCAGCTGCGGTGGATGGCAAGAGACTGGAATGAAGGAAGAAGTAATTGAAAATAGGTGTCCAGGTGAAGTCAAGCCGCCCGACTGGGTTCGTGTGTAGGTAAGCATGAGGCGCTGTAGTTGCCCAAAAAAAGCTCGCTGCAGCCGAGCCCACAAAACAGCAACACGGCAGGCACTCAGCAACTCGAATGTGACCCCCGCCTGACTTGGGTTGGAAGGAAGAGGGAGGTGAGATGATGGGAGAGCAAGCAGCAACTCACAGGTGAGACTCCAGAAATTCTCGAGGCGGCCGTGGGGGAGGCGGACCTCCCTTGATCGAGTAGCTGTACCCTCGGCTTTTTGGCGCATTATGGTTGCTGTATCCCAGACCTAATCTCAGCCCCTCCTCGTCCTGCTTTTGAGGGAGCTTCAACCTGTCCCACATCATAGGCATAGTATCTGATGTCCTTCCCACAGCCCCAGTTCTCCTCTTGAAATCCCTCTGCCTGGGCTGTTCTGTCCGTAGCATTTATTAATATCTCTGGCCTTCTCGCAACTGACGATTTCCGCGCTTTCGAATAAGCCAAGTTGGACTGCGGAGGTGGGGATGGCGGGATGCGGGCAAGGCCGCGTTAGATCGTCACAGCGTCGGTTTGACCAAGCCAGGGGTGCATGAGCCTTGATATCTCCAGGAATTAAGTAAAGACGGCGCTGTTGGTCTCCCGCTCGGGGTGAGAATTGGAACAGGACTTATTATGTGAGGTGAGATTGGAGGGTGTCGGGACCTTGATAAGTCTGGCACACACTTTCTTCAGATGCCGGGTATCGTTGTTGACAACACCAGATCTGTTTGAAAAGGTGCTGTGAAGGATCAGGTTATTGGCTGTGGCTGTTTTGATATCAACCGTTATTTCCACGTGGGACAGCTCACAGAACTTCTACAGCCAAGTCGATGTTTTGGTGTCTGTTTATGACCTGAGTGCGAGGATATCGGTCATTGGGTCAGAGCTGCCCTTCGCCGCCGCGGCGCGCACGGCACTGGGTCGTGTTCGGTGGTCCTCAGCGCGCAGCTTCGGGGCGTTGACGCGTGATTGGGGACGCCTCGAGATTTGTTGGTCTTGGTCACTTCTCGCTACTGCCGGGTGGTGTCGGTGAAGCGGCCGGATCCTGCAGTCCCAATTGCCTAGCCAAACCCAATGTCCAGAACGACGGGATGAAGTGTGAAGATATCTATGATCTCTCTTTCTCTCTCTCTCTTTTCAGTATCTAATTATTACCCTGTTGCCGATCATGGGAGCATCTCAACTCTTCAGCCGCTTATAAGATCCGTCAGATGGTGGTCCGCGCCTCGCCTCAGCATGCACGGCTGGGAAGCAGGCCTGCACAGGCCTTGGAAGAGAGGCAGATCGTGCAGGAAGCCGCCATGAGAACCCTTAAAAATTCCTGGCAGCGGTGCAGCAGCTGAAGAAGTAAGCTACCCTTGAAGTTGCAGTGGGGCGAGATGGTGCATCTCGTGACTCTGATTCAAAAAGGCTTTGATGTCTTTTCGGTGAAAATAATGATGTAGATACAGTGTGATAGTCTGGTGTGAATGCCGCTAGCATCTGATATTTTTGGAAGATGAGAGGGGCATATCTCTTGTTTCACTCTGAGGATCCACCCTGCACCCCTCCCGTCCCTCCTCCGAACACCTCGGAGCTTGTACGACTTCACATCATGAGCTCGAGCAGCGCCGCCTTCTCGCATCTGACGCTTGCCGAGCTCCTTCTCCAGATTTTGCTGACAACGGATGGGAAGAGGGTCTCTCAGACGGCGGTCGCTACCGACTGATCGCCAGGGCATAGCATCTGGGGGCCAGCTCAAACAGCTCTTTCTGCAACAACGACATCCCGTCCGGCATGAACTGTAAAAGTTGTAGACAGCATGGATGAACCTAGGAATGGTTCGAGCGAGTACATCAACAAAACTCCCGGAGAACCCAGACCGAGCGTGATGAGCAAGAGACCTTCTCATGCAGCAGCCCATTTCATGCGGGTTGGTCTTCCTGTCGCCAACCCTAACCCCACCCTTATCACTTACACGATAAGGACTTCTTCAATCAGACAACTCATCCAAAGAATCGCCCGTTTTCTCGTCAACATCTCGCTATGTCATTCCACATCGTCATTCCGGCCACTGGCCGAATCTTGCGCGACCCCATGGCGCAGTCTATGCATGTTTGCCAGCGCAGCAAGAACGGACAAAAATGGGCAACCATCTATCTCGTTGGTTCCTCACCATCTCCAACCCCATCCCACTTGTTGTCTCTTCCTTGGCCAAAGCTTCATTCCCAGCAGGGACCTTGTGTAGGCGTTGTATTTCCTCAACGGCGCAGTCAAAAAAACAACAGACAAGAGAAAATAAAACCCACTGAGCACCGACTCACCGCCATCTCGTCCAATCTATACTGCTTATGGTACCATATGCAACAGCAGCACTGCGGCACCGCCCATATGTCTCGAGCTTGAAACCAAGCAATGGTCACTTCCAGCTCACCCGCATTTGGCCATCGAGGGTTTCATTCTAGACGTGACATTCGAGAAAGGATCGGCAATCTAACCGCTATTCTGGAAACTCGCGTGGCTCACATCCTGAGACTATAACCTTTCAGCTTTGTAGCAACACCACTTCGGGTTGGGTTGGTGGGTGGGCTTGGTATGAGCCACGCACCGGTTCGAAAACTAACTGCTGCAGCATAGCGGCGCAGTCTCTTCACACCTTCAGGTTTCGGTATTCAGGGCAATGGGCTTCCCGCGGCGGATAAGATCGGCAAAACCAAAGTTGAAGCAACTATCGTCAGTTGAGCACCTGCATACAGGTACATATGAGGGGCCAGCTCCTGCTCTCCTGGTCTGCCGGTCCTATCGGAACCACGGGCTGTTGTGTCTTGAAGACTTGGCGAGTGACGATATGCCTCGACTTGGTGTGGTGGCAAAGGTTCTAGTGGCTACACAGCCGCAACGACGTCAGCTGGGAATGCAAACACGAAGTTGGAGGGAAGCAAAAAAACTATCGTGAGAGGGAGAAATTAGGGAATTTTTGATGCAGTTGGGGGGGGGTTTTGATTTCAGCTGGGGAGGATATGCTCTAACGAGATTGTGGATAGGAAGCTGAGGGGTATTGCGAGGTGTTGTTGCCCGTCACTTGATGGGCTATTGCAAGGTTGAACCAAGACACGACACAGGTGGGTTTATCTATGTGGGAAATGGTTGACTTTATCCACGTTGGTCAGTTCACTGTACAACTCAGAGCCCTTCTCTGGATATCAAACACCAGTCTCGCACCGGGCACAAAAATCTTAGCCCGGTGTCTATAGCACCCACCTATTCAATTCAATCCAGTAGCAACACAATCATGACACACCAAGGTGACTTGACGCAGATTATGATGCCGCCCACGCCTCAAGAGATGGTCAAAGATAACATGGGCCTCGATGAAACTCGGCAACCTTGCCTATTCAGACTTGAAAAACCAAACCTCTCACCCTTTTCTACATCAGAACAGCCCGTACCATATCGACGTTCCCCAGTTTGAAACAACCAACTCCAACCGCAACTGCACCTCCTGGTGACATGTGACGCAACGTTAACGACCCCCACCGACATCCCGGTTTTCCCTTCCAATACTTGACATGATTCCCAACCCCCTATGACCCCCAAAACTACCTGAGGAGTTTCTGGTGTCGGTAGAGCGGATGAGGGGTCTCGGTGGTGGGAAGGAGATGGACTTTGGTTTCTTTGGGAGGGACGGGTGGTGTGTTGTTGGGAGTTGGGTTTGTAGCTATATGTGGAGAGAGATGCAGGGATGAGGACGAGGGTGGTTGGTGTAATATCAAGTTGGTGGAAAGTCGAGATTGAGGTGTGATAGTGACATGGCAAGACAGGTTGGTCTTGTCTTGGGAGTGAGGGTGACGGTTGCTGCCCGGCGGGGTTCGGTTTTAGAATGGGAAGTGGGATATCAATGGTGATGTCGAAGACGGAGGCTGGAAAGGGGTGTTGGTTGGCTGTCTACGTCGGTGTTGTCGCCGGCCGCTTCCTGTCGTGGATAAAGGAGAGGTACTCTAGTCGGGCTGATATCCAAGTTGGAAGGACGTTGTAAAACCTTGCGAGCTGACCGCGCAGTCGCCAAGGAGGATCACTTAATCCAACTCACAAACACGGCAAGAACCACAGAGGCTACTCGGCAGTTGTGGGTACAAAAGTTGGAAAGCTCTTCAACCTTTGAGGCGATTTTCATCCGTACAAAGTCATCTTCATTCACTCCCCTCACTCTCTACAACCCCTTCCCCCTCTCCCCAACATCAACAACAGTAACACTAGTAACCGTATCCATCTTTATCCCCCCCCT